GTGACATTAAATTGATTCCTTCTCCCTAATCACAAAGAGTTTTTCTAATGTTTAACTTTTTAATTGTACCAGAAATATAAAAGTTATCAGGATATTTCAACTTCGAGAAAAGCTTACTTTGAAGAATTATGCTACCCTCTTATAATAGTTCCACATTTTCATCCTTATGCCACTTTATTTTCTTTGTCGACATATCTATTATGAATTTAACATAGTTATGCATTTCTTCTAGTTCCAACAAAAAAATGTTTGATTTGAAGTTTTCTAAACATTTCCATGAACTTCCTAAATTATCTTTTTTTTCTTCTTATTTTTAAAAACTTACATCTTAACACGAGGTGGAACTTCTTACTTTTTGTATAGATATCCATCGGTAAGAAATTGACCTTTTTTTTTGGTATTATCAACATAAAAGTTTCATATATCAACTTCTTTTTGTCTCTCCTTATTTTGTAAGCTTCACCCTACTCTTACTTTTTTTTCTTCCTCATTTTTTATTTTTTTATTTTTTATTTTTTCTTTTTAATTCACTATTTTAAATAAGTTTCTTTTTATATGTCTAGAACTCACATGTGTATGTATTATTGGCGTTGTCTTCCGCGAGAGACCCAATAAGTCTCTCACGTAAGAGACCATAATTTTTACGTTTTTTTTAGTTTCAACCATTTAACGACGGTTTATGTTAGATCTATTCATAATATTACAATTTCTATCGATATAGAAATCAAAAACAAAACTCTTAACCAATTCATATGAGTCAATAATTCATCAACTTGTATCCCTTAAACACATAACAGAATTCAATCAGAGAATAATAGCGGAAATATACATGAGTTTGCCATTGAAAATCTTTGAAAGTTGCCGAATACATGATCTTTCAATTGTAGAGTTCCTTATGACTCATTAAATCTTCTTTGATTGGGATAAAGAGATAATTTTTCCTGATAAACCGTATTTTCAATCGTTCTATAATGGGCACTATAACCCATATAAATAACCTTATGGTTATTACTTAGTTTTAAATGTTCTAATTTAGTCCCTTATCAAATTAGATATTGATTTATGGTATCTACACAATAATCATATATTTCATGATATTTATACTTTTAGCCACATACTTAATATTAATTAGACCACTGCAGTTTTGACTAATTAAATAATAGCTTTAACACGTACAATATTATATTTATGACCAAAAAATTCTAACAATTTAAACTCTAAAATATCTTTATTAATTATAGTTATTAGAGTAATCGAAAAGAGTGAAATTTAATAAATAAAAGTATAATAGGCAAAAAATTATAATAAATATTATATTTATATCCTAAATAAAGTATTTATTTTGAGATAGAAAAAATACAAATAAGAAGATTTTTTATGAAGCCGAATAGGTGATTTTTTTACCCACCCCACCCTTTTGAAATTTATATACCAAAATGCCATAACCTGGAAAATATAAGTATTAAAATGCCACTATTTCACTTAAGGCTCGGCTAAGAAAAAGACGAACCTGTGAAGCAAATTTTGCAGTTGCATGAGCTCGGCTAATGGTTGACTGAGCCAGTGAATATAGGCCTTTTTTTATGTTTTAAAATATATAAAACTTATATAATATATATTATAATATAATTAGTATTATAAATAATATAATTTGTATTACATTAATATTTAAAAATTGTGTAAATTGTTTAAAAATAATTTAAATAATATAATAATATTTAAAAATAATACTAGTTATTTTTTTAAATAATATTATAATAGAATAAAATACTTCTATTCGTTTAGTAATAAAAATATTTTTATAATAAATATCAATTGATACCATTTTAATATTTTAAAGTATAATTTATTATTATCAATTGCACTACAATAATTGCGTGAAGAAGTTCGACCATTCATTGGTCGAGAAGAAAATATTTTATTATTTTTAAATTTTTTATATATAAAATTATTTGGATACCTCTAGATTTCAGATCACCTACATCCATTTCATCATTTCAGTTTGAAAATTTTCATAAAAATGGAGTATTTTACTAATCCAAATAATCCTCTCACCAAAAGAGATGCTCAACTGGTTTTTTCACCAACAAAGCCATTGCTGAAGATCCGACTATGGAACACAGCGACATCCGAGCAATTTCAGAGAAACCTAGTTAGATGGTTAGAAGGAGAAGTTGCTGAAGGTGAAAAGATTAGAAAAATTGAAAGGCTTGTTAAAGATGGAGGCCCTACCCGATCTACCAACCTTGCTTCCTTGAAGATAGTCGATCTACCTGATCTACCCACCTTGCGTCCTTAAAGATAGATGCTAAAATCTGTATTTATAGTTTAACTATTATATTTTCTATAACAGTTTATTTGGAGACCCTACCCGATCTACCCACCTGCGTCCTTGAAGATAGGCAGATTTGGAGCGCGATCACTTCAATCATCAGTTTTCATATTGTTGAAATGCATCAAGATGAAAGGGTCAAATTGCAATTTGAATTTGAACAAGAAATCCCTACTTAGCCTGGATGTCTACGCAAACACCATGAAACTAAAATGCCTAATACATGGGGAGATCATTGGTGCAATTTGAATAAAGAAGAGAACAAATAGTGGAGAAACAGAAGAAATTTGACCTTGAGAAGAAACATGGTTAATGGTCGCTATGTGCATAGCGCTGCATATATGCAATAGTTTTTTTATAAGTTCCATTTATGCATGCTTCTCAAGCACATTTCCTAGACGACCCCCGTCAATATGCATCTTCTTCATCACAGCAAAGAGCCTTGTCGTCCATGCATCAAGAATTGGCCAGATTTTTGTTATTGATGTGGATATGGTTGATACATCACATCAACATGAAGATGTATCTGAAGATGAAGGTGTAGCTGAAGATGAAGAGTTGTGTTCTGACTCTACTTCATTTCCTCCAAGACGACAAACCCAAGACTTAGGCAGGGGGTTGCGCGTAAAAAAGAGTACAATGTGTGAAACTGACGATCATCTACGTAGACCCACTTGATGTATCTTTTCTACTCAATAATATTAATAAAATTACTTCTTGTTACATTTTATTTAATACAAAAATTATGTTTATTAATTAGATAATTAATTAATTAAATGTTATATGAAATATTAGAAACTTAAAATGATATAATTGCAAAATTTATTATTTGTTAAATTCAAATAATAAGAGAAATAAAATATTATTTAAAATATTTAATTAGAATATAATATTAATTAAAATATTTATTTATTAATATTTTAAAACATAAAAAGTATTCTTAATTTTTAAAAATCAATTAAATATAAAAAATAAATATATATATAAATATATTTTAAAGCATAAAAAAATATCTATTTACTGACTTGATCAACTATTAGTCGAGCTCAAACAGCTGCGAAATTTGTTTCACAAGTTAGTTCTTCGTTTTTTCTTTGACGGATTTCTAATAAAATCGTGACATCTTAGTACTTAATTATCAATCTGTAACATTTTAATATATAAATTTCAAAAGAGTGGCTGGTGGGGGTAAAAAAAAAGCCCCGAAGAGCTAGTACTTAACAATAAGATAATTCAATAAATTTAAAAGCATCACTTATTGAATATTGATTTTAAATTGAGTTCCAAAGTTAGGGTGAAAATAGTAACTTTACATAACAGTAAAGGAAGAGAAACCTTTTGAGAAAACAGTAAGAGACGCGTGGACAGGACAGAAATTGAAAACCTTGCTGGCTTTCCCATCAGTTGTACTATACGATATCACTGCAATAAATTGCAAAAGTTGCCTTTTCCTTTCTTCATCACGTACTTACTCTCTCTCTCGCCAAAACATGGACATGGACCCTTCTTTATGGACCACCATCCTTAAAGTCAAATCTTAACCCCAAAGTAAAACCCTTTTTCTTTTTAGTATATCAATTCTTTCTCACTTCTAATATCTAATTTTAATTCTTTCTACTTTTTCTTAATTAAGGATTTATTATTAACAAAAATCTCCCTCTCCTCGTTTTATGGATTATTTCTTCTAAATGTCTTACCCTACCCTAATATTATGATTTATTTTCCTATTCAATCAATTTCATTTCCATAAGTAAAAGTAAGTTAATTCTTGTTTCTTAAATAAAATTTAGATTACTAGAAACACAATTATTGTTAAAAGAGAACCACCAAAATGGTATCCTAAAGTCTAAGTGCACTTAGTATTTCATTAAATTCGATCCAATTACAAGACTTATTAAGACTTGTTAATTATAATCCTCTAGGGATTAGTTTATATAATAAATTTAATTGAAATACAAAGATATTTTACAATATCTGTTAATTATAGTTATTGATTTGTTAAAGAATTTTGACTTTTATTATAATCACATACCCTCTCCATTCTAAAATAAATAATCTAGTTGGCCAATTTACATAAATAAATAAGAGATAATAATAATTTAATAAAATATTTTTTATTAAGTATTTGAAAGGATGAAAATAATATTAATTAGAAAGTAGAATTGAAAAAAATATCTTAAAAATTGAAATGAGCCATGATTTCAAAATTTTTTTTATTCCAATATAGAACAGATGAATTTAAAATAACATAAATGGATAGTTTTGATCCATTGATTATGTAAATTTTTTTTATACTAAATATATATAATAATTAATCTCTTATATTATATAATTGAGCAAATAATTAATTCATATAGACAAAATTCATATGAAAAAAAGTTTAAAAAAAACCTAGTACAACTATTGAAGGAGTTTTTAGTCATTTGTGTGAAACCACATAACAAGTTATGCGTGTGAAAAAGGAGTAGATTCAACCAAAGCTTTGTTATTGCTAACTATAAATGCACCCAACTAATCCTTACACTTCCACCATACTCCCACACATACATACACACTTTTTCTTCCTTTCTCATCTTCTTCAAATCTCAACTCACTCAACAACAAAAACAACAACAAGGCACCAAATTTTTTCACTCACCTTGTTTCTCTGTTTTTTGTTACCAAAACCATGGACACCAGAATGCAAAACATGAACACACAGTTCCAAAACAGTACCGATATTGGATCATGTTTATCAAATCTCATCTTATCATCTACAACAAACACACTTGACTCTATTTTCTCTGATATTCCATCAACAAATACCAACAACAACAACACCAACAATAATTTCTTGGGGTGTTCAAATTTTGAACCTTTAGGTTCCTCTGTTTATCTTCGTCAAAGAGACATTCTTCAAAAATTCTACGAAGAAACTCGATTAACCCCCTCTTTCATTCCATCTTCATTTTCAAACACTCCTTTATACACAACAACAACAAATTCAATTTCAAATTCAAGTTCGAGTTTGTTCACTTCTTTGGTGAACAACCCTCTGAAGAAGAAGCTATACAGAGGAGTGAGACAGAGACACTGGGGAAAATGGGTGGCTGAGATTCGACTTCCTCAGAATAGAATGAGAGTTTGGCTTGGAACTTACGAAACTGCTGAAGCTGCTGCTTATGCTTATGATCGTGCAGCTTATAAGCTTCGAGGCGAATACGCGCGTTTGAATTTCCCGAATTTGAAAGATCCAACTAAGTTGGGTTTCGGAGATTCTACTAAATTGAATGCTTTGAAGAGTTCCGTGGATGCTAAAATTCAAGCTATTTGTCAGAAGGTGAAAAGGGAAAAAGCTAAGAAGATTGCAGCAAAGAAGATGAAGAAGAATTCTGAGAACGATAATAAGAAGAAGATGGAGTTAGAGAAGATTAACTCGTCTTCTTGTTCTTCTTCTTCGTCTTCCTTACCGTTATCGCCTTCGGTTTTCTACGAAGATTGGGTGAATGAATTCTTTTCGCCTACCGTTTCTGATGACGGAGTTTGGAAGGGGGAGAATTCGAATTCGCCGAATTCTGTTTCGACAATGGTGACAGAGGAAACAGAGTTTGAAGATTGTTCATTGGTAAGAATGCCATCTTTTGATCCAGAATTGATTTGGGAAATTCTTGCCATATAGAAGAAAGAAGTGTAAATGAAAATTAGTATTGGTTTAATGTTTTTAATTTAAATTTAAAGTGAGTTTGTTATGTGTTTTATTTAGGTGTAGTTTTAGTATGTGAGAATGGTGAGAGGGTTTTTAGCATTTTGAAACTGTCATTGTGGCTTTGTTTTTTTCTCAGAGGCTTCAGGATATTTTCCTATGGCAGTTGTTGTGATAAGAGAAAGTTATACCACTAAAATTTTACTTATTCATAAGTGTTTTTACTTTTTGTTTAATCTCTTTGTCTATAATTAAAAGTAGAGTCTGGATTATGGTTTGGAACTTTAATTGTTTAGTAAGTATAAAAAAGAGTACTTGATGAATCACATCATAATATGCAGTTTTGGGTACTATCTTTCTTTGAGGTTGAGGGGGCTGTTTTGTTGGAAATAGGTTTTGGTACTTGTTAAGATTACAATGAAGCTAGTGATGTGTGGACTAAAATGTTGATAGATCTTAAGAATCCACTTCTCCCGTTCACATGTATTTGAATCATTTGGGACACAAATAATGCTTAAAACAGGAAGAAATTACTATTGAGTGAAAATGATCTAACTATTACACTTACATTTAACGTTACTAATATAGAAGGGAAAGTGCCTTTCTGTTTTCAACTTCTAAAGGGAAAAAGAGTTAAAGAAACTTCTAAAGGGTAGTAAAATACACCCAGTCTCCCGGGCTTGTCTACACCTTTTTTTTGTCGGACCAAACTCTTATGTACACACTTTATAATATATCCACTCCATTCTACTTCGTTTTAAGTAGTTTTTGCATACTCAAATATTAATATCATTTGTTTTTGTAATTTTTAAGTTTTAAAAGTTTAATGTTCGTTAATCTACTTCACCCTGTCATTTTTTTTTCTCCGAAACAAGACAGAGTTTTAGGCCCGTAGTCTCATCATTGTCCGCCCATTCCACCTTTTATGGGATGTGGCTAAAAAGAACAAACATACTTGATTAATTGATTAATTGTAATTGAATTTAACTTTGTTGATATAAGAAAAAGGAGAATAGTTGATGAAAATAATTTTCAATGAGCTTTTTCAAAACTATTTGTTCTTTCATTCATAAGAGTTTTTGACATAAATACACATAAGAAATTATTAATCTTGTAATATTATTTTTTGGATTTTTTTCCAATAGAGGAAATTAAGAATTGATATAAAGAAAGTAAAAGGGCATCCTAACTATAAAAATTAACTTCTTTGAAGCACTCCATTTGAAAGTCTAGAATGAAAGACATCCTCAACTACCAATATACTTTTTACCAACTTTTTAAAATAAGAGGACAAAGTCTATTGACAAATTTGATAATGAGTGGAACTTGACCAGTAAAACAATTGTTGAAAAAATTCGAAAAAAATATATAACAAAGTGTCTTTTATTGCGCTTTACGAGAAATAATTATGTATATGTGTTAGCTGAAAGTTTCGACGCTAAGGTTTGATTGAGTATGATAAAAAAAATGTTTTTAAGTTGCTTTCTCTTAACCCTATTCGCCAGACATCTATTCAAGATGTAAGTTACAGTCGACACAACTTCTCCTCATAATTCTTTGGGTAGATGCTTGTCTCTCAACATACTTATTACCATATTCATAATGGTTTTATTCTTCCTTTCTGCAGTTCCATTTTGCTGTGGAGTGTAGGGTGACACCACCTAGTGCACAATCCCTTCTTTCTCATATAATGCATCAAAATCTGTTGACACATACTCTCCACCACCATCAGTCTTCAGAATCTTTTGCTTTCGACTACTTTGTCTTTCGACCATAGATTTAAATTTGGCAAATACCTCGATCACTTCATTTTTCTTCTTGATCAGGTAAGTCCATAATTTTCGACTGAAATCATCTACGAATGTGACAAAATATTTGTTACCTCCAATCGAATCCACCTAGATATTACCAAATACATTAGAGTATATGACTTCAAGAATTGCCTTCGACTTGCTTTCTGCATTCTTGTTGAAGCTGTTCTAGTGCTGCTTCGCCTGAATACATTCTTCACACACTTCACGTGGAATGTCGATTTCTAGTAATCTTGAAACCATATTTCTTCTCTTCAAATCTCGAATGTCTTTGAAATTGAGATTGCCAAGTCTATAATGTCATATCCATTCTTCTTTGCTGGCTGTAGTTAAAAGGCATTTATGCTCTATCACATTAAGTTCAATCTTGAAGGTTCTATTCTGAGACATTAATGCCTTCAAGATTAACCTAACACCTCAATTGAGAACTCTCATAATCTTGTCTTCGATTGAAACATTGCAGTTCTTTTTGTCCAGCTGCCATATGCTGAGCAACTTACTCTTCATGCCTGGTATGTTTAATACATTAGAAATTATTGACCTCTTGCCATCTTTGCTCATAATAAGAACATCACCAATATCGTCAGCTGCTAGAGTATTGCCATTTACAAATTTCAAGATGTTCTTCATTGAGGGCTTTATATTGACAAACCAATATTTCCTACCAAATATGTGTGATGAGCATTCTAAGTCCAAGTACCATTGGTCATGGAATATTTCTTCATCTCTTGTTGTGACCATCAACAACATCTCTTCTTCTTCTTCATGTTTTGTCATCTTTTGCATCATTTTCTTAATTCTTCTTCTTTTCTGGTCAACCACTAAAATAATGACCATACTTTCGACAAACGTAACAACGGATGTGAATTTTGTCAAGTTTTAAACCACCACCTATTCCTCTACTTGTAGCACCACCTCTTTGGTTGTCTTGGTTCCAAAGTTTTCTCTGATTCGACCAGTTTCCTTCTTGCTGATTTCTACCAGTCGAATTGTTGTAACCTCCTCTGCCTTTGTTTTCATTCCAACTTCCTTTGCCTTTATTTTCTTTTGTTGATTGCACCTGCAAAGCCACATCACACTTTGACTTTCCTACAACTTTTTAATCCATCCTTTGTTAATGAGATTCAAGAGTTCCTTGAAGATTTTCCTTTGTCAATGTTGACAAATCTTTCGACTCTTCTATGGCTACTACTATGTGGTCGACTTTGGAGCCAATGGCCTCAAAATCTTTGCAACAATTGATATTGATGTCAACACTTCTCCACATACCTTGATTTGATTCATCAATTTAGTAACCCTAGTGAAGAAATCAGTTATGCTTTGACTTTCTTCCATCTGAAGCAATTCATACATTATTTTGTGACTTTGTAACCTCACCTCTTTCCCATTCTCTGTGCCTCCAAAAAATTTCTCCAGAATTTCCCATACTTCTTTAGGTGATTCTACATTACTAACCTTTTGAAAATTATATGTATCAATGCATTGATGAGTTATAAAGAGATATTTATAATCTTTCTTCTTCAATTTTTTGTATGCAGTCTTTTCTTGATCCGCCGCGTTTTCTGCAAGCGGTGTTACTCCTTCCTTCACAAGATCCCAAAGATCTTCATAGCAAAAAACCACCTTAATCTGCTTGCAGCAATTCTCGTAATTATTGTTCTTAAGAATCAGAATACTCGCCGAAAAATGCCCGTTTGAATGATTCATCGCCATCATGATTTTCATCCCACGAATTGCTCAACTAATGCTCTAGATACCAGATGTTGGAATTATCCAGAAACTTTGAGAATTTCGAATCAATCTTCATGAACAAGATTCAATCAACCTGATCAAAATCCCTTGTTCTTCACTCTTTACTCAAGTGAAACAATCACACCTTGATTGCAAGAATGATTTTGCTCAACAATTGTTAATGAAAGAAGAAAGAAAATTGAATAAGAAAAAAGTTATGGTTTGACAAAAGAAGGGAAAAGGAGATGATTTCTGCAGAGTAACTCTCTGCTCTTAAATTGAGAAAATATCATTCAACTGTGCAACTGCACTTTTTGTTGTGTGTTACAATATTATTCTCTATTCTTCTTACTCAAAATAGGGGTTACTCCCTCTATTTATAATTGAGCTACCTCCACTCTAAGGTAAAACCCAAAATTACAAAACTCCAAAATTTCTATTTTTGTCTAAGGCTAAATCCTGTGTCAAGCAACCTGCTTCGACACTTCGATATCTAACACAAATTGACACACGTACTAGGCTAATTTTGGCACATCATTGTTTCTGTCGAGCTACACTTGCTTCGACACAAAGAATTACAATCTAAACATGTGTAAGATGAAATTTTATTTCTATGTAAGAAGGAGAAAGAATCATATTAACGAGTAATACAAAACCTCTTGAAGAAAGGAAATCATATGAAACTAATAGAGTAAAAAATCAATCTATGTACCAAATTGTGGAAACTTACAGGTTGAAAAAAAGACGTATTATAATAAAACTATAGACAAGCAAATGAAGATGACTAAATGTTCAAAGAATGAAATGAATAGTTAGAGTTTTCTATAAAATGTTAGGAGGGAAGATGCAAAATTTAGGTTTTTTGTGAAAATGAGGGAGAGAGAAGTCGTGGGTTCTGAAATGTATTTTATGTTTTAATGAAATTTTCACCTATATATTTATTAATAAATATTAATTAAAAATATAAACAAGTAACTAGACATAATTTAGTTGGTTAAAAGTGTTTTGAAAACTCAAGGGGTACTAGTTTGACTTTTATTTTTAGTTTATTTTTTAAATAGACTAAAAAAATCAAATATTGATAGAAAAAACAGCTATAAAGTGTCGAACTAAACCCTAAATTTGATAGGACAGTGTGTTATGTCAACAGAGCCATTTACATTTCATTTAAATTTCATTTGTTTTATATATTTACGTCCCTTGAAGTTTAACATTTTGACATTTAATATTAATATTCTAATGTTTAAAAAATTTTATTCCCAAATTTTATTAATATATTATTTTTTTCATACAATAAAAAATTTTCTCATGGAAAATAAAATTCAACTAAAAATAACTTCTAATTACAACTCACATCTATTTGTATTTTTATTATTTTATTTTATAATTAAAATTATAAATTTTAAACACACAAATGAGTAAAAATGTTACTTTAAAAAGTAATATTAATGCAACCATAATTTATTCATATAAAAATTATAATTTTAAACTTTGAACCGAGTACAATCTATATCTTTTGAATTTATCAAGATAAGAAACACATCTACTAAATTTTTAAAACATTAAATTTATTCATAAAATATATTTTTTGATAATCAGCTTTAAGTTTTTTTATTTATTGAAAAAATATATTTAAACTTTTATTTATTTATTTAACTATTTTTATTTTAAACTACATTAAATAACATTTAAAATAAAAATATCTTTATCTAGAGAATTTATTTTATAATTGACTTCTAGAAGTGTTCGAAATAAAGAGAAATATTATATCAGTCAAATTATTTTTGTCTCTGAAATCAGTCTCAATATGTGGTAATCCATGTCAAACATTCGATACATGTGCATAAAAAAGCAATGGGGGATTAAGTTCAATAACATAAACACAAAGACATGCATTCATGTTTTATTTCTACACCAAATGCATTCAATGCATGTACAAATTTACTAACTACAACCCATTATACATTACATATTAATATAAACGATCAAAAAATGATATCAAGAGTTGAAGTGCTTCATCCTTCAATACATGAAATCTAGACGCCGTTCAAAAACTTGCGGATCCTCTTAACAAACGTTGTCCTATTATCCTTAATCTTTTTCTTAGCTTCCTCTTGACGAAGTTGACTGTAACGGGCATGAATCCTCTTCAACAACTCACTCTTTTCCATTGCTTTGCTACGTTTGCGTGATACCGATATTGGCTCCTTAATATTGTCTTCAAACCTCATCCAATCATCCGGAACTTCGCGCGCTTCTACACGCGATGCGGCCACGTCAAATTCCTTTTCTAAGCCGTTATCGCGGCGGGGGAGGTGGCGTTTGTTCCATGGCTTGTAATGACGGCGAGCGTGATGGCAACGGTGGCGGACAGGACGATCGGAAGATGACGGTAATGGACGTCGTGGAAAACGTGAACGGCCAAAACGGAAAACCGTTAGAGGAAGAGGTTTTGAGTCTTCCAAGGATTCTCTTGTTGTTGGTTTATCAATGTTGGAGTGTTGGTGAGGGGTTTCTTCGGCAGGATGGGAATCTGGTTCGGGAAGATTCTGGGTAGGGAGGAAGGTGGCGTCTTCGGCAAAAAAATTCTCGATGTCGAATTGGTCAATGTCGGATGGATCTAACTGAATAAGAGTAGAGGTTGAGAAGGTACAGAAAAGTAATAGGAAACATGTGATAAGGATGTTGGGAAAAGCAATGTTTGTGGCCATGGTGTCGGTGTAATGAATTTGAAGAAAATGGAATGAAAAGAGGAAGGTGGTGAATTATAATGTGCATGGGAGAAAGAGAAGAACGGAAGATGGATGGAGAAATAGAACCAACGACGGGTAACAAGGGAAACCTACCACGTTAATGGCTTGTTCTTTATTATGTATACGTTAATATATGGATTATATTTTACAATCATATTTTACAATCCAATTATAGCCTAAAGGATCGTTTTCTCACTCTAAAATTTACTCATTCAAAATATTAGTTAATTGAAAGGATTTTGCCTTTTCTCCATGAAACATTAACTCTTAGTGATCAAGTGCAGTGAAGATGAAAGATTTGCATGTTTATCGTGAAACTAATTGTTGTGAAAGTAAACTCGCCAATATTGCTCTTAGTGGAGATTTTAAAATTGTTGAAATACCTATTCCCCCTCCTAGTTTATTTTTCCTGCATAATGATGATAGTATACGGGTGTCCTTCCTTAATTTTTCGATGTGATTTTCCCTTCTGTAAAAAATCTTATATTTAAAGGTGGTTATTTTTGTCTTTGTGAATATATTAAATGTTAGTACGGTTAGTATTGAAAACTCAATCATTCTTGTAATGTTTTGTACTGTATATATTAGCTTGTTTATGAATGGAAAGCGTAAAGTATATATTAGCTCGTTTATGAATGGAAAACTATTGAATGTATCAATGCTATTGAAAATTCAGTCAATCTTTTAATGTTTTGTATTCTATATACATTTAATGCTCATAGCTCGGTTACTCAACACCACTGATCCATCATTTCACTCTACTCTTTTTTATTAAGATTATGCAAAATCCTTATGGACATATCTTAAACAACATTTTTAGATTGTTAACGTGACTCATGTGAATCTATATGTTTGTAGGTATATTTATCTGCAATAGCTAGACGATCACGATAATTCTTATAATAACAATACAATATGTCAAACGACTTGATGCCTAGTTATCATCTCTAAATAAGTAATGATCAAGATGCTCTATTAAGATCAAAGTGTTTGTTTGTGAGATATCAAGTTAAATTCAATAAAGATAACACTTGATGCCAAGTGGCTTTTGATGAAGTCCTTGATGATCTATGGAAATCTCTAATTATGGTGTCTATCAAGAAGCTCTATTAAACCATATCAATCAGAAGAAATCTAAAGGTGAAAAAAAAATACACAAAAAGAAGAATTAAATTGTGTTTGCAAAATCCTTTTTATTTCTGAACCTGATGATCCTACTCTGGTTATTCCCTGATGATCCTACTGCCACGTAGATCCGGCTTTACCTTTTATCCTAGAGTGTCAACCGGTCATGCCTGAACCTGTTGAGAAACTACTCTGATTATTTCCCAGTGGAGGCCGTCTTCTCGGTTCTATCTCCATTGAGGATCTTTTGTCTTCTTGCTTTCTAAAGTGTCAACCGGTCATGCATGAACCTATTGATCCATCACTTTAGATTTCTCCAGTTTTGTTCTGGTTCTCCAGTGTGTTGTCTTCCCTAGTGAGTGGTTACTCATTGTGTTTAGCTTCGTCTCCGTTTGTTTTCGTTTCGTCTGCATTTTGCATTTATCATTCCATCATATTCGTCATATTAGAAATCATTGCATGTCAACATTTGCAGTTTAGTTTCTTTTGTCCATAGCATTGCATATCATTTCATCTAAGGGAAAAATTTTCGGTTATCTGTATTCAAATACCTTTCACCATGATTTCACGAAGATTTTCATCGCTCACATCATCCGGTGAAGATATTTAAATAAGGGAAACTGTCGTACCCCAAATTTTTACCCTTAGATTCATTGATCATTTGCATATCACCTTAAGTCAATCATCCCTGCATAGCTAACCGGTTTACCAGTTTTTGTTTGTTTTGTAAAGATAGGTTTGCTGAAGAAAGTCACAGAAGCTTTTGTGTGCGCTTCTATGCTCTGCAAGTTTTGTTAAATTCTTGTAGAAGCACATATCCTCGTTCTTTTGACCTCTTATTCAGTACGATGTCATCTCTCTCCAAGAAGTCTCAGAGGTTTCTCTAAGGAGGATTAGGATTTGTTTTCCATTGGTTTTAAGAATGGTCATTTGAAAACTGGTTGGAATTCCGTGGTGCGTTGCATTATAGGTGGTTTCCTCATTTCCAAAGGATTTCTCAGAGCATGATTTTTCTACCGAGCTCATCTTCGATTGTGAGAATAACAAAGATTCTTCAAGGCCTCACTTCCGTTTCAAGTACTCACTACTTAAAATTGATTTATTGGAAGTAAAGGTACATGCCACAAGCTAATTATGTTCATGGTTTCAATCCATTTTTATTTGATGTAAGTCCACTTTCCACTCTACATCACTATGTTCGTTCAAGGAAATAAAAAAATCAAGTGTTGAACAAAGATTTGAAGTTTCATTGGTTGACCATATTATGATTACGTCTTCAATAAAAGTGGGTCATGGGAGCATGTCGTTGTATATTCCAATTCAAGAAAGAAGGGTTCAAAGCTTTTGAAGCAATGAGTTACACTTATCCATTAGAGCCAGGAATTGAACGCTACACTTTTATGGTTGAACTGTTGGGCTGAGCACGCAAAGTAAACAATGCATTGCAACTGATAAACAAAAAATGCCAATAGGTTTTATAAATTGATGAATTAGAGGTTCAATTTATTCCTAAGCATTATGGAACAAGAAACTATGCACATGATTAGTTGTATTTTACAATCAAACAGAAGCTTCTTAAAAGATTACATTCACTTGTGAATTACACAGTGTAACATACAATAGTAAACACAATTTGTGATTGTCGTCTACAGTAGAGTTATGCTTATGCTCCTTATAGCCACCAGTATGCTCTTTGAAACAGATCAAATGTAAAAATTCACTTTCAAAACACTGAAAGTTGACACTAAGTGCTGACAATTTTGCTTGTTAATTTAAAGCTGGTCCAAGGAGGTAATAACAAGGTTATTCAACAAGTATGAGGATGTACTGATCCAAAAGAAAAATCCATACACCAGGTGCTATTTTTTTAGAGCTATTGACGAGATTGCAAGTTATGACTTATATCATAGAGTGAGAACATTGATCACAAGTTCCCAACAGCTCCAATTGTTAGACGATGACACGGATCTAGAAGGGGGTTGAATAGATCCCTTATTAAAAAATAAGTCGGCGCTACCAATAAAAATGGTTTTAAAAATTTGTTTAATTTGCGGAAGCGGCCGTAGAAAAATACGGTCTATAACGAACGGTTACTAGAAAACCGGATATGCGTTTTAGCCGATGGAATCAGATAACGAGTAATGAGAATCACTACGCTAGTCACACTATCAATTTGATTTAGCTCACAATGTGGTATGACTAGTTAGAATGCCTTAAAATATTACCACAATAAATGGACAACACACAAGGCTTTTCGTTTAGACAATTTATCAAGCATTTGGAGTGCAGAGCACTACAAGTGAGTTCCACTTTGAGTAATTTGCTCTAGTTTCCTTGTACGATTAACAATTGTACTACAGTCAAAAATCAGTTTAGCACTTACTCAAAACAGTCCTAAATTTGATATAATTGTTTGTACTAAAACCACACAAATATTAAGCAATCTAAAAACGAAAGGTAAAAGGCACAAGGATCTGTTGAGGCAGTTCCCACGTCGTCCTCGCTTTGGGGTACGTTTGCCCTCAATTCTAACGATAGAATTGAGCTCTTATAATATAAATTTAACCTGTTGTAGAATCGTATATACAAGAATTGAATAGCTATCAAACAAACGAACACCCTTGTTGTTGTAGATGTTATCTCCTATTGTCCATTGATTCAAGTCGAATCAAGTCCTTCGACAGCTTATGAATAAACCTCTGATTACAGCTCTATGTTTGAACAACCTTCCATCTTCAAACCCCAGCCCAGCTGATATCAAACACTCGCGTGTCGAACCTGAACCTCTCCTTCACAATTCTCCGATTACCGCTACTAGATCGACGGAACCCACCGATCCTCGATCACCTTCACTCGGATGAATATGTGTTGAGAAGACTCGTCCAAAAACCCCCAAATTCAGAGAATCTTGGAGGACAAAACCCTAGAGGTTTTATTCAAGAAAAACCTGTCAATTCCTCAACCCGAACTGGATTACCCAATCAATAGCTTCGAACGTTATCACCTTAGATAATCCATAATGCACAACAAAGATTACTGTGTGTGATTCTTGTGGTATGAAATGTAGAAGATGAAGATGATGAGAATTTGAATTGACACCTCTTTCACTTTTCTTGTTTTTCTAATTGATTCAATTGATATGAAATAAAGAGAGCAACTGAGTATTTATACCAGACAAAACTGTTATAACTGATAAAACCACCTTTCAAAAATAATAGATAAATCAGGAAATATGCAGCAAACAGCGAGCGGTCGACCCATGCAGAGTGCAGGGTCGACCTGAGCTAACCCGAGGCAAACAGATTCTGCAAAACACACAGCTATGCGTCGACCGGAACAAGGCATGCGTCGATGCAAAGCTGAATTTTTAGATAAATGCAAATGACAACAGTATGCTTCGACTGGTAGGTCGACCATACCTAACCCGAGGAAAATGCATTTTTAGGACACATGCCATGAGTCGACCAGAGCTGAGTTTAGGTCGACTCAAAGACCTGAAACTTCAAAAAATGCCTAAATTCATATCTTTGATTCTCTTAGATGATACCTATGATAGACCAATTGAGTTTAACTCGTATGACGTATATTTTGACAACTCTAAATGCAGTACTCGAGATATTTAGTGCAATCAAATAAACATGAGAAGTAAGGTATGCTTATGCATCATGGTGATAACTCCAAATGTCTATTCCTCCATGCGGCTAGGTTTTGACATCATCGAAACACACATATCTAGTATCTGAGGTTTTGCCCTCACATACTCCCCTTTTTTATGATAGAAAAACACGTATAACCTGTCTGTATGATATCCGACATTATCCTCCCCCTTGCTT